TTGATACAGCACTCTGGGAACAGCCTATTCGTTCAGCAATTTCTTTCTGTGTCTTACCCTCTTGCTTGAGGGTGTCAATGATGGCCTTCTGGACAGCAGTCAGGTCGGCAGTCTTACCCGTGATTGCGGTTTTGAGTAATGAACAAGGCTGGGAGTTTTTAAAAGCCTCAGGAATCTTTTGCAGGTGTTTAGAGTTACGTCGTTGATTCAGATGGTTAGGTTAATAGCTTGTTTAGAGAACCTTTTCATAATATGCTAATTTTTTGGGACAGGCATTTTGGGTTTTCATGAGGTGTATGCCATAATCATCAGTATTAAAACAATTAAAGACCTGAAATATTTCAGTTGGTGTGCAATGAATCTGGAATATATGAAAGAAAGTTTAATTTTTATCATTACATTATGGAAAATAATGACCTTTATCACAATATGCTAATTTTTTTAGAAGGACCTGTATCCCTACAACTATAAGTAGTGATGACTTCATGAGATTCTTTATAAATAAAATTATTTCAGAGAGAAAATTCAAACCACCCTTCCTTCTACTATCTCTAGTCCCCTGTCAAATGAGGCAACTTTAAAAAATTTCACTAGAGTCTGATATATGTTTGGACAGTTTTTGTCCTGTTGAGCTCTCTGAATTGTCAAAAATAATAACCTCATCCAAACCATCCACATGCCTGCTAGATCCCATTCCAACCAGACTGTTTAAAGAGGTATTTCCACTAATTAATGTCCACATTTTGGATTTACTTAATTTGTCTTTAATGGATGGTTATGTACCACAGCGCTTTAAGGTTGCTGTAATTAAACGTTTACTTAAGAAAGTTTGATCTTGATTCAGAAATTCTGGCCAACTATAGACCTATACCTAATCTAACTTTCATCTAAAAAATTCTAGAGAAAATAGTTGCAGGTCAGTTGTGTGAACATCTACAAAGAAATAATCTGTTTGAAGAGTTTCAGTCAGGGTTTAGAGTTTATCATAGCACAGAAACGTTGGTTATGTACTGTAACCCCAGATTCTATGAATATAGGCGTAGCCCTTTAAGAGCTGTCGCTTAGTGGGTTTTATCCCGTCATGCGGAGCATTACATTGAAAAATTTAGTCCACGCCCACCTGCTGTGTGGGCCCCACCCGGTCCGTATAAATTACGTTAAGAGCGGGTAATCACCTTCCAAATAGCTTTTTTTTCAGCCACTTAAGAGCCAGTGAGGCCTGACGCTTAAAGGGCTACGCCTATATTCATAGAATCTAGGTTTACAGTACGTGACCAACGTTCTATTTCATATAGGCTTCACCCTTTAAGAGCTGTCTCTTAGTAGGTTAAGGGTGAAGCAGATGTGGTCCTCGCCTCACTGGGTCCATTCGAACACCGTATGAAGCGGAAGCTTGCACAAAAAACGTCTTGTCACTCAGCTCTCCATGTGCGTAATTACACGTTGCGTAATTATGTGTACCATGCACAGACACATGATGTGTAAACATGCGTTCTGAATGCATGAACGCCCCGGAAAAAATTTCAACAGAGGGGAGAAATGCTGAAAAGGAGCTGTGAACCAACCGGTTTACGGCTGAACAGTATGAACAGATTAATAATAACAGGAGAGCTGATTCTTAATCAAATGAACTGATTGGTAACAATAGTCATGAACTGATTAGTGACAATAGAACCAAATAACAGACACAATTTGTGACTGATAACATCTCACATTGTAAAGCATGCAGTCAGATGTGAGCTTAAACGGGTTTCCATGAAAACAATTATATTTTTTCTGTTAGAGCATTAAGGACAGAATGTGTCATGGAACAAACTGTCACATCACGTAAATAGAAACGAATAAATGAGCAGGGCGTTGACCACGCGGCCGCAGTGCAAATATCCTGCATTGTCATACCATTATGCAAAGCAGTTGAAGATGCAATACCCCTGGTCGAGTGTGCCCTGAGGTTGACAGGAGGCTCTAAATCTAATGCTCTGTAGGCTTCAGAAATAGCCTCACACAGCCAGTGTGACAAGCGCTGGGTGGCTAACGGGCAACCTACAGATGCATCTCTATAATGCACAAACAAATGTTGAGTTTGACGTATTACAGCTGTGCGCGCTATGTAACACGTCAATGCCTGCACCGGACAGAAAAGATGGAAAGACGCTTCTTCTTCTGATTTGTGAAGGGGGGGGGGGACCCCCCCAACGAAATCGCTCTTGATTTAAAAGAGCTTGGGATGTTTTTAGGCATAAAAGCTGGGTTGGTCTTAGATCAGCTGAGCTGCCGTCAACCTGAATTCTGAGACATGACGGAGCGACAGATAGGGCAGATAAATCGCTCACTCTCTTAGGGGATGTTAAAAACAGCAGCAGGCTGTTTTAAGAGACTAGAATTTAATTGGAACCCGATCCAGAGGCTCAAATAGAGCTTTGATCAAGGCTCGCAGGACCAGCGTTAAATCCCACTGTGGAACAAGTGGGCGTGAAACAGGTCTGCGTCTTTGTACACCTTTTAGAAAATGCTTCATCAGCGGATGATTAAAAGCTGTTCTGTCACCGAATCCTTCGTGGCAGGAAGAGATGGTTGCAGCGTACGTTTTAATAGTGCTGAACGCCAAATTTCTGTCCATCAGCTGTTACAGAAAGGACAGCACATCACCTAGAGGACATGAGGTGGCCTCTACACTTTTCTCTGTACTACAGCGCTGAGAAACTGTCCACTTGATGTGTACAGCGGTGTCGTAGATACAGCACGTAAATCCTGGATTGTGCGCACTACATCCTGTGGGAGACCCATCCTCTCTAAGCGGATCCGCTCAGCGGCTAGACCCACAGGTGCTGGCCTATTTCTGGGTAACTCCTGATCGCTCC